AGCATGTAAAAAATTCCTGTTCACACGTACAAGAAATCAGATACAGTCATTTATGCGATATATCGTAATTTATCCCCCCTTTGACTGGGATAGAAAACCAGCCAAGAGTGAGGTGATGGTGTGGTGGAGGGATGCTGTGAAACTGTCACAGGACAGAGGTGATACCGGCTTCCTCTTGTGCTGATTGGTTGAGTACCTGAACATGCTCGTCCCGAAACTTTGTTACATAAAACTTCATGATGTAAAAAGTTTCTTGTGTGCATGCAAATGTCTGTATACACTACTGTATATGTCACTCCTCGTGCATATAAAAATCTTTACAATTAATGGCAAAATCAATGTTAGGAAATGTAAGCTGATATTTCCTACTGACACACTACAGCAAAATATATAAATAACTGGCTTAAAACCACTTTTTGGGGGGAAAATACTAACGTGCCTAAGACAGTCCACAGTAGTGTATACAGACTTTTGCATTGCATGCACACAATAAATTTTTTTGAGAATTTTTTTGCGTGCTTAACGCATTACAATTTCTAGTTTTATATACTATAACCTATGTCTACTGACACTACAGCAAAATATATAAATAACTGGCTTAAAACCATTTTTTGGAGGGCTGAAAATACTACTTTTGCTTTGGAGGTCTCTAAAAACGCTTTCATTTTCTCGTAATGTACATCACCATATTTTTCAATGATTCTCAAACGCAGGTCCGATGATTCAGTCTCTTTAAATCCCTCCTCGCGAACCTACTCTGCTCTGATTGGCCAGACAGACTAGTCTGCTGTAATTGGTCTACCACTTACAGTGCTTGTCGGAAGCTAAATGCCCATATTACGCCTTATAGCGATTGTACACACTGTAAAGACAGTAACAATGTTGTCGACTCGATCCGAGCTCGAGTCCGATAAAGAAACATTGGAAGAACTAGTTATTCAACCCGAACCTCCATCGCAAGCACGACTTTTGCAGGACGTTTCTCAGTGATACGCTAGAACACCCAGTAGAAAATATATACATCAATAAATAATCATACTTACTGATAAAGTGGGTACTGTCCCATCTTTAAATGGACATGGAGCGTTTTGTAAACCTCATTTAGACTTCATGGAGATTTGAGAAGCATTCGTCAAAAGGTTGTACTGCTGTTGTATTGCTGTGGTAATTTTAACCAGACTCTTCACATCCTTATCCTTTGGAAGTGTTTACAAAGAGAATTTGCTTTTGCAGAGTAGAAAACAGTGTCTTCTCGACATACACAACAAGAACCAGCTACAGTGTTTGAGGGCGGGTCAAGTTGTTCACTGGTGGACAACGTAGAACATAGGTGGGCATTAGGCAAATGTTTAGCCGTCACAGAAGTGGGATTCAAATTCCTGATGACTTGTTTAGGTTGCTCAGTGTCGATTCTTTCTTTTGAGAAACAATAACTTTATTTATCGCATGCTCTTTCGTCTTCAGAACTTTGTAGATAGCTGCAATTACACATTGCATGAAAGGGAATATTCGAAAAAGCATAATAGGGGCACTTTGAATATGGTCTGAAAATCTACAGAGAGGTTTGGAAATTTGAGTCTGGAAAAGTATGGAATTTTGAAATGGAAAATGTGTAGGAACCCTGATTTACCTTGAATGTATGAACTCAATAAAGCTACAAATCATTTTCTTTGTTTGCAGTGGGAAGTCAGATTATGTGGAGCCTGCAAAACGAGCTCATATCATGGCAGCCCCTCGGGGTCGGGGTCGTGGTGCATTTGGGCAGCTCTGTCGACCACATGACATTTTCCGCCAGCGCAAGCAGAACACCAGTCGGCCTCCTTCCATGCATGTAGATGATTTCCTTGCCGCAGAGTTCAAGGATGTTGGTCCGCCCACTGGCCTGTCCCTGCCCAAACGGCCACCAAAGGGAGGAGGAGCCAAGCCACCGACTAGAGGCTTGTTCACTGGAGGAACCAGAGGGAGAGGCTTCCAGAGTCACACCCGCTTCTTCACTCCACCAGCCCCAAAGAGTGTTCTGCTCGCTGGTACACGCATATGTTTAATTCGGCACATATATACTCGGTACTCTTTTATATGTGGCTGATTAAAACTGAAACATCATTTAAAATAATTTGTTTGTGTTTTAGGAAACTATCAACGCCGCGAAGGTGGTCGCGGCTCCACTTGGAACACTCCGGTGACAGCTGTCACTCACAGAGGGACTTACAGTGAACCACGTGGAGGACAAAGCAACTTCACCCGACCGTTGCCCTCCAGACAGCCACCTACAGGTAGGCCTTCATCCTTTTTAAAAAATAATATAGAAACAATATAAAATAGCCATTTAATAACCATCAAACATGACTCTGACAGCTTATATGGGTTTTAAATGAACAAGACCAATATATTGACCAGGAAGATTGGCTAGTATTTGATTATTTGGGGATTTTCAGCATCTGCTGATGACCATGCCTGCTTGACCAATTGACAGATACAATAAATTCACTAGTTTCTCTGTCACTTCTAAAATCTATCGATATATAATATAATATAATATATGTATATTAATAATTCTATATATATTTTAAGCCACTCGTTATTAAAAAAACATTGGTCAAACCCTATTTTAAACTTAAGTGATACATTATACAAATTGATATAATATAAAAATGTAAGTTTAAGTTTTTGAAACTTTAGAAAACACATTTGGATGTACAATGATAATTTTTAAAAATTGAATTTGTTTTTCCCTAGTCTAAAATGAACTCACAATGGAGCCTTGACAGCATGTGACCTAACATGCTTATTAGTGATGCTCCGATTGATCAGCCGATATTGGCAAAAATAGCTTGATTGGAGAACCCCAAAAGAAAAAAACGCCAATCAAAAAAGCCGATCCCCGCGACTTTTTTCCACCTGCATTCCACCACTGTGTACTATACACATATTAGATGGGCACACAACAGCAGAGCAGAGCTTGCCAGTGGCAACAAGAGTTTATTTTAATGGTCTTGTGGCAGAACCTTTGCCTAGCGTGTCAGAGGTCCTGGGTTCTAATCCGCACTCGTATAGGATTTTTTTCTTCTCATCAAAACCAATTATGTTTATCAGTTGTTGTATATCAGGCAGGGACACGTTTGTGTATGTTTTGTTTTGTAATTTCACCGGAACGAATAGAGAGACTCCACAACGGATTGAAGCGCACGTCCAAGTAAAGACTGTGCGCAAGCTACAAGAGAACACAGTATCCGTGCCACTGATCGCAGCGGCAACAAGCACTTTGATGTCTTGATACATAAAAAATAAAAAAATAAAACGCTAGATCACCTCTTATTTAAAGGTGCAGTGTGTAGATTTTAGTGGCATCTAGCAGTTCGGTTGCACTAATGGCTCAGCCCACTGCTCACCCCTCCCTGTCGAAGAAGCTACGATCTGGAACGCTTTGTAGGCTATGCAAACGAGGGTCTGCTGTGCTGTGTATGTCGGGATGTGTTAGAAGATCCTCTGCAGGCTCCGTGTGAACATTTGTATTGGTACATTCGTACCGCGAGATGTTTCAAAAGTGGAGGGGACAATATCGACCTTAGCAAAAATTGGTGGGGACATGTCCCACCCGCAAATTACGCCTATGCTATCACTTATCATTAGTGTTCCCTTGTCTTTCAGTCTTAGGCCAACTACCTCTTTGTTTTAAATGGGTCATTATGCTTTTCTTATGCCTTATTTGAAGGACGGCTTATAGTAATCTAAAATATTTTATATTTTTTGTCATAGTTGGAAAAAACTCTGGGAGTATTTCATTTTTTTAGACTATGTAACCTGACACACAAATGGATGTGTGTGGCCTGCATTGCATGTCACTATAATTGATTTCACATAGTTTTTCATTTTTACATCTGTTTCAGATACAAAGACAGATACTTTCCTTAATTTATCTCATTTTCTAAATACAATTAAATAAACACTTGGTGGTTCTTCAAGATCTTGACTGTAGCCTATTTCTACTGGGTTTTTTCCCCCCAATACAGTTAATTCATAGTTAGTTTCATTTCTACAAATGGTGCAAACTCTGCTAGATTATAGATAAAAGATTCCCATTCCCCTGGCATTTTGTGATTGGTACTCGACAGATCATGATTTTGGTGATCGGTGATCGGCCCCAAAAATGCTGATCGGAGGAGCATCTCTAGTGCTAATGTCTCCATTTCCCTGTTGTCAAAAAGTTCAAGCATGTTGCACATTTATTGGCTGAAGGGGATGTCATGATAATACTAAAATATAATTTTTTCTGCTTGAATGTTATTGTATTTTAAATGCAATTTTCTCGGTCTCATTTTGACGATACACCATAGAGGGTTAAACTTAGGTGATAGTTAAGTGGCACCTTCTGGATGTTTCCCTCAGCGGTGACTTCTTTCTAATCATTAAAGTTACAAAAAAATACCTCAATAATGAATTAAATGTTTTAAATGGCTCTTTAGTTCACCCTACTGCTATATCAAACAGTTACTGACCCCTCTCTACTAACACTTCAGGTGCATACAGATTGGCTCCTCGGGACAGAGCCAACAGAGGGAGAGGAGCAGGCCTGTCCTGGTTGAGTGGTGGTGGAGTTGGTGTGGGAGGAGGTGGAGTAAGTGGCGGTGGACGTGGTCAAGGGAAGTTCAGCAGTGGAGGGAGCGGAGGCGGACGGGGCCGACATGTCCGATCATTCACTCGCTAAACTCTGCCTTGAGCAAAGCAGACTCAGCCGTCAGGCTCTAAAGGACCAATCAGGATGTGGATCTGCTGTACCTGTTGCAACCACCGACTGATATTGTGTATATCATTGTCATGTTTTGTGTTTCTCTCATTTTTAAAACTGTTAAATATGATTAAATTCTTGTGAGGATATGTTTGAGTGTATTTTTATATAAAAATCCACAGTGTAATTTGTTAAAACTGTTTTAATATCAACAAATGTAGCAGAATTTGTTGCATCTCTGTTGTTCTTGTAAATAGGAAAACAAACCTCAAATTCTAAAAACATACAAAATTGTGTAAAAAATCAATAAAAAAAATTCACTACACAATTTGGTTTAATCTTAGCACCTGGGCCATCTCATAGCACTCATTCAGTTTACACAGAGGAGATCCAATAATGGGGCTTTATTCAGAAGATGAGTTCCAGGTAGTGGTTTTCTATTAGCATCATAATGTTCCCTCTTCTTTAGTGTTCTATTGTGAAAATGAGCCTCTTCAGATAACTGTAACCTCTCTATTCTTCCTTTTGATGCAGTCCAAAGCTAGGCTTCGTGGGCTTGGCTTTCTCGGCACCTCAGCAGGGGGCGGAGCTACAACTTCAGAGGGTGTGGCTGGTCTGAGCCCCTCCCTTTTTAAAAGTTCAAGAAGCTCCGCCTTCTCAAGCTCTGCCCTCTCTAGCTCTTGTCTGCGAGCTCTCTCTGCACCCAGTAAAATGCGGACATCTGACATGACGCGGGACAGCTGGCCCTTTGCACAAACACACACCTGTCAGTGACTTACTGCACACAAAAAGTCTGTTGATGTGAAAAGTATCGTACCTTAAGTTCGTCCACTTCATTTCTCAGCAAATTCTCCTTCTGCACCATGTGTCGTCTTTGGGAATCCAAGCGAGATTCCATTTCATGCCTCACCTCTTCGACTTTGCAGTCTAATTCTGCCCTATAATAAAAACACACGCACACACACATTTTTCTAACCTTACAGCATTTACATGGTCACAATTTTTATGATTTCAGCAGAATGTTTCTACCTGAGCATGTCCAGCTCAGCTCGTAGCTCTGATACACAGTTGTGTTGGGCCTCCTCATTGTTTAGGATTGTGTATCCACAGCCGCTTGCGCAAACTCTACTGCTGTATTCACACACACACAGATGAGCTTCCAGAGAGCGCCGCGACACCTGGACTGGGCAGCCTGAACGATTGCAGAGAAACATTAAACAACAAAGAAAGAAGAAAACCTGGCCCAAGGCAAATGTTCATGCACAGAGAAAAATTGTTGAAAAACCATCAAACCAGCAGGGCTGATCAATAAGGATGGCTAGCTGGATGACAAATGAGGATTTGTCAAAATTGCAAAAATGACTTGATAGTATTGCTAGCATCAGTAAGAATGATGTTTTCATTCTGTTTACAATAATGTTTTCCCATGCATGCCAGCATTTTCCAGCAAAAGTGTTTATGAATTTATGACTGCCTTTGTGTGTTTTAGTTTCTACTGTATGTCCAGCTGTTATTGCCAATTGTCTTTGTGAAGGAAACGTAACATTTGATAAAAATGAAATGTATAGGAATATTTTTTTAAATATTAAATCAATTTAAAAACTACATTTAAAATGATGAATTAAATATTATTTTATCTAAATGATAAATTCATAACAATTTTAAATATACACTACTGTTCAAAAGTTGGGGGTCTGTAAGATTTTTTGAATGTTTTTGAAAGAAGTCTCTTACGATCACCAAAGCTGCATTTATTTAATCAAAAATACAGCACAAACAGTAATATTGTGAAACTTTATATAATGGTTTCCTTTTTAATATATTTAAAAATGTATTCCTGTTATGACACCAATGTGATCATACTAATATGCTGATTTGGTGCCCAAGAAACATTTTATATTATTATCAATGTTGAAAACAGCTATGCTGCTTAATATTAATGTAGAAACAATTTTTTTTCCAGAATTCTTTGATGAATAGACAGTTCAAAAGAACAGCATTTCTCTGAAACTGAAATCTTTTGTTACATTATACATGCTTTTACTTTTGGTCAATTTGATGCATCTTTGATGAATAAAAAATCCAACCTGAAATCACAGGTTTTTTTTGTTTGTTTGTTTGTTTAATTTTACTATCCTCAAACTTTTGAATGGTAGTGCTCGAAGTGTGCAGCAAGTGTTTATGAATTTATGTCTGTCTTTGAGTTTGCTGTATAAAATATGAAATAATACAATTATTTGTTTCAAATTATAAATTTGAATACAAAATTATAAATTGATACAATTTTGAAATGTATAAAGTGGAAACAATCTTGTTAAAGAAAAAGACACACAGAGTTTGCAAAACACACATAAAACACAGAACACCTACCACAACGGTAACACAAGTACTCGTCACCTGCATATTTAAATACATACATACATACATACACACAAACAAATATTTCCAAGATTAGAGAATGCTGCACTAGGTTTACTGAAACTAATATATATTTATTATGTGCAAGAATCTGCCATTGTTAGCTCATTAACTGAACAGCTCAATTGTATTAACCCTGAGATAAACGTTTCGCCTCACTGGCTGCCTGAGGGGGTCCCTCATTAATTATTAAAAACGTGATTACTCAGCAGTAGGCGCTCTATCTTGAGGGTACAACACTCATTCATCTGCTGTTACAACTGCGCTTTGTATTGTACTGTATGTATGAATGAGGCAGTAGTCACCTGTCCCCTGCCAAAAAAGTGTGGGTACGGGTACTAAGATATAGTTATTATATATATACAGTATATATGCTTGTTTATGTGTACCTGCATTACTGCAGTTCAGCAAAGCGTAATCACACTGTTGCTCATGCCGATGAATAGACTCCAGAGCACATATGACCTCACAACCTTGTGGCCGGAACACACACCTCAACTGCAGCCTTGCTAAATCATTCCTCATGTATCTGTAACACACAATACACATGTATGTCATTTGAATAGGTAAGAGACATGATTAAATAAAATGAATGCCATTTACATTAGTTATCTGAAGTGATTCTGTGCAAATACAGGTGCTTAATACATCTGTGGTACCTGAATAGTGGGCGTAGATGTGTAATGTCTAAAGGCAAGCGGTCCTCAGGACAGCTGTTATGGTGGATGAGCCATCCATGAATGCAGGAGCTGCAGAAGGCATGTTCACACGGAGCCTGCAGAGGATCTTCTAACACATCCCGACATACACAGCACAGCAGACCCTCGTTTACATAGCCTACAAAGCGTTCCAGATCGTAGCCCATCCTAGAGGACACACACACACACAGTAAAATACTTATAATAACTAAAAAGATACCTGATGGTTAAGACGTTACATTGATGTAATGGGAAAAATATCCCTGCAACCAAAATCATCCCCTGACTGACGTTACTACTTTCTACTCAAGGACCTTGACCGAAATGTAGTGGAGTAAAAAGTACGATATTTGTCTTTCAAATGTAGTGAAATTAAAGTAAAAAGTTTCCAGAAAAAAAATAATACTAAAAAAGTAAAGTACAGATACTCAAAAAGTGTACTTAAGTACAGTACTCAAGTAAATGTACTGTCCACCTCAGCAAAAATGTAAGAAAACGTTTTATTGTACTTTAAAATAAATAGATATTTGCTAAATGTGGTAAATCTTTGAACACTGAAAGTTAACAATATTTATTAAAATTTAAATTTAAATAAAAAAATTATGTAGATGACGTTTACATTTTTTAAGGCAAAACATACAGGCTATTAATGCAAGCTTAACAGCATAACAAATGAAAATCTTGAAATATATATATAAATAACATTACCTGACAGAGTGTGTGGTATCTTCTGTCCCCCTCTCTCCTTCTCTCAGGTGTGGTTGTTGAAGGTGGTCTGGTCAGTTGTCGTAGAAACAGCCAGGTGGCAGCTGTTGGACTGAAACATGAGTGGGTGGGGTTACGACTGTAGAAATTCACTAGGGATCTGAGGTCAGTGTGACATCTTCATTTGTGCTAAATACTAGGAAATAGACCCTTTAATATGCATAAAATTGTGTGGAATGCAATTTTGAGGCACCTTTGCTAAGCAACTCTCACCTGTACCACAGACCATCTAATGTGCAAGAACACAACAACACACCTGTCAGATCCCTTAGGGAAACCCTCTGGGAAACTCTTGTTCATGCTGTGATCAAATGAGACTGAAGCACCTGGCAACCTCACACACAAATACACAGAGAGAGGCACACCGGGACCACATAAAAAAAACAAAAAACATATTTGATTACACAAATATCCTACACATCCAATGGAAGATTTCTGGAATTACGGTCATCCTGTACACTTTCCTCAAAAACAACAGCTTAAAACTAAAAGGTGACATGTGCAAGTGTTCCTGCACCTGTCTGGCCACGTGAGGGGAAACACAACTGATCACATCCAGGGTGTCAGCTTGTGGCTCGAGCATTTAACGCTAAATGATTGCTTTTTTAAAATGTGGAGCTCCATTTAAATTCATAATCCATTACAGATTCACAGTTGAGGTAATACTGTATAATCATAAATTATTTTATGAAGAAGAGGATGTTTGTCTGTGCTGGTGTGTTTTTGTTCTGGGCACTCTCACTCTGTTCTTCATGGCTGTGCTGGGATTACACCGGATTACGCTTTCCCACACTCTGATTGGATTATTTTCTACATGGCTACATTGTAGCCTCACTTTCAGACATGCAGCGGTATATAAAACATTGGCACAACACAAGCAGATGTGCATCTGTGCACATGCATCAGTTAAAAGAGTTGAAATAAAAAATGAAATAAAATCAGTCAAGCACCATATATAAAAAATTACTAAAGTCAATGTTCCTTCACATTTTGACCAATGAATTGGCATAACTTTTCCATGATTTCTCCATGACTTTTCCAGTCATTCATAACTTCAAATGTTTTTATTTTAATACTTTATATCAATTGCACTCGCAAAGAACAACTAAATATTCTAAAACTGAGCATAACAACAACAACAACAACAACAATATATATATATATATATATATATATATATATATATATATATATTGTGAAGTACTGCTTGCAAGTAGAATATGTTCGTCAACAACCCATCTCTACAGTTATGAATCTAAAGCATGAATGATAACAAATTAATGTAAGACAGTAAGGATCTGATTTTCGAAATTTGGACTGAATAAAAGACAAAACAGTAAATAAATGTCGGAGATATAACTGTGTACAAAAGCTGCATGGTCAAGCTAGTATAATGTAAAGGAATTCTAATAAAACAAGTAAGAGTTAATATAGGGTAGGTTGCACTTAGTACTTGCCTGGTTGGTAAGTGATGCTTGACAGGGATCAAATTTTTCAGACGTCTCCTTTATTTGCTTAATTTACCTTTGCTGGATTGGATCAAATTTTTGCAGGCAATATTTACTGTCAGGTTTCTTTGACACTCTTCTCTATACTGTTGATTTTTGCTCCTCATAAGCTTCTGCACTCCACCCTCTTTATGTGACGTTACGTTTCGACCAATCACGGTAAAGATACGTCACTTCCGCGGAAGACTCGTTTCGAGCTTGATGGTTTTCGAGGGAATTTTTGAAAATAAGAAAAGTTGTTGACAGTTGACAGACGAGGAAGAAACACGATAGGTAAGCGTTGACTGTACTATCTGTCTACTATTAGTATACTAAATCGAAGTACATATGACAAGTTATTGGAGGTTTGAGGCACACGACGCTGTTTACTTGGTTTCGCTAACGACAGCAACAGATACTCCTCGCTAACCTTATATCCTGAGGGGTAGTTCACCAAATTATGTCATTCATTCAATTTTGTCATTGTTTATTACATTTATGTCATCCCAAACCTCTATGATGACCTTCTTTCCCTTCTAAAACGGTTCATTTTAGATTATAATACAGCCCGACCAGCGTAGCCTGATTCTTGAACGAATGACTCTTGTGACCAGGTGTTGTGCATAAAACTGTGTCCAGGGGTCGCTGTTCAGCAAATGTTCGCGAAAATTGTATTTTGTCTTTCTTCTTCATTTATGTATTTCTTTCACCAGATTTTTTTTTAAATCTAAATTTGTAGCTGGGGACCTCTGGTTGAGTTTATATGGAATTACCTCACTAAGAATTTTAAAGTTAAAAGGTTAAATGCATGCTTGGTAAAGGAACTCCTTCTCAATCCCAACACAGTTCTGTGTTAAAATATGTCAGTTCCATTGTTTTGTCTCAAGATGCACACTAGGAATGTTTTTTTCTAGGGCATGTTTATTAAAGATACTTAAATGCCCTAATTGAACTAAGGCCTAATCTTGTTTTAATCTAATTCCTGTCTGTGAAACCGGCCCGTATGTTTTCATTTCAGTTCTGCTTTTTCTTTTGATGCCACAAAGCACCTTCACTGATTACCTAGTATCCCTAATTTTATATTTTTTATGAAGTGCAGATTCTGATATGAATAACAAAAGCTTATATAAAAATAAGCTTAATTTTTAGTTCTTATAGCTTTTTGAAAAGGAATTAATGGTAGGTACATGTCAGACAACTTTTGTCTAAATGATAAAAATAGAAAGAAGAGGAGCTGACACATCACATGAGTCACTTTAAACATTATAGTCAGTTGTTATGAATTAAAGAGGGGTAACATATTTCCATAGCTATGAATTTTGATTTGTCAGATTCAGTGACCCTATAGCCTACTGTATCATATATCTCAGAGTAAAATACATTTGTAAGGAACAAACTATAAGAACTGCAACATTATTGGGTAATTACAGTAAATAGAAATAAGAATAAAGATAAGCCTATGTATCAGACAATCAGAATAGGTTATACAAAACAACAAGCGCTACTGTAAAACATCTACTCATAACGAAACCCCGCATAGTAGTAACATATTAGCAGACAAGTGTCATGACAATATCTAGCTTGTCTAATGTACGTGTTTCTCTAAGACATGAAACATTTTTTACAGCACTGCTTGCTTGGCTCTGACGTTGATCATCCCGCTTTAACTCTCTGCACTAATGTAATGTCTGCTTGTAATATCTAATGTAATGTCTGTAATTGCTGAACAGCGCCCCCTGGACACAGTTTTCGCTAGTTCACCGATTTCAGCACAACACCTGTTATTTTTAGTGAATCAAAAACGCTGAACTGCGATTTATTTACTTTCCTCACGTCGGACTGTATGAATGAATTATGAACCGTTACTGTATGTTATATTTAAGGTACACAAGACTTAAATAGTGTAGACTGACTGGTTGTTTATGACAACAAAGATAAAGATACACATTATGAGATTAGCTGCAGTGGTGTTTTATAAAAAAGAAAGGATGAAATGTTAACACTTTTTTTGTTTTTGTTTTATTTCATCTATAGTTATTGGATTGCATTTATGCCACCCTGAAAATGTCTGTGTAAACGCACAATGAATCAATTAACCCTCTGGGGTCCTTCATTTCAGGGTCACACTCAGGGTCTTCGGGACCAAATGGTCCGGAAGGGTTTGATTCATATTTATTAAAAGAAAATCATATATATTTTTTTTTACTTGTTTTTTATAAAAAAAATTCTTTTATTTTTTGGTGTTTTGAGAAAATGTTATGATTTATAATTAATATTTATGCAATAATTATGACCCATTTTTTTCCATTGAATATAATATAATTTTTTTATAAATATGTATTTTTTTATATATTTTTTTTAAAGCTGTATTTCATTTTAGAGTCAAGCCTAGGCCTCATGTAAACAATTTTTGAAATGAGATGGATGCCATCTGCTGGACACACTGAGCATTTTTATCACGCAATAGCACATTTTTACCACTAGTGGATTTACAGCTCTCTGTAGAAAGGGTTCAGAATTCTTGTGAGTTTTGCACATCTTTGACAATTTTTTTCAGGTTGTTGATTTTAAAATATAATAACAGATTCTCAAAGACTATTTTTGTCTTGTTTTTTGTTTGTTTGTTTGGTTTAAATGGTAATTTGAAGTGCCAGTTTTACTTTATAATACAGATTATTATAAATATATAATACAGTGTGTGTGTGTGTGTGTGTATGTGTGTGTGTCTGTTTTGCACTCTTGATGTTTTAGAGATTCACCCCTTCACTGTTGAGTCCTTTTTTCTGCATCCTGGCTGATTTGTAGATTGTATGCAAAAAAAAAAAACTCTGACAATTTCCCATTCATTTCCTATGGGGGTCATTTTTGACCAAAGAGCAGAAGTGTGACGACCACTTAGCATGCTTGGATCATGACATCAATATTTATAAAAGTCACCTAGTTTCGTAACATTCCGATGAAGCTGTGATTTTTAAAAATTCAAAACATATTTATGTAATCTGAATTTATTAGTGTGTTTGTGTATAAAAGTGTGTGTGTGTGTGTGTGTGTCTGTTTTGCACTCTTGATGTTTTATAGATTCACCCCTTCACTGTTGTGTGCTTTTTTTCTGGATCGTGGCTGATTTGTTGATTGTACGCACAAAACAACTCTGTATTTTCACATTTTTGTCAATTTCCCATTCATTTCCTATGGCGGGTCCATTTGGACCCGAAGACCCTGAGTGTGACCATTTTTTTTACAACCACTTAGACTATTCAAATCCTGTCCCCAATTTTTTTGGGTGTTCATATACCAAGTACCAACAAAGTCACCAAATTTCGGACCATTCCGATGAAGCTATGATTTTACACATTTTTTAATTTAAATTCTTCGGGTCCATTTGGTCCGAAGAACCCCAGAGGGTTTTTTAATTTAAATAATTTTTGGTGTTATCTCTGCTAAAACAGTTAAAATCTGAAATGATCTAATAATCATTGAGAACAAACTTCTGGGGTAGTGAATGCAGTATAAACTGCATTTCTTTTTCTTTTTTTCCAAAATATTTCTTCCTCAAAAGTACTTAAAGAATTATGATTAAATTACTGAAGAAAGTAAACCATCCCTTTAATCTGACCTTTGAGGTTTCATGGTTTTATTACTGTGTGGTGCTTTAGCTAAAGTGGTATGCATGTCTTCATTGATAGAATGCGTAGATCTGGAGCTCCGAGTCAGATCTGTGGCAATGCTACTAAGAAACCCAGGTTTATGGCACCGGGGCCAGCGAGGAATGATGGACCACCTTTATCGGGTCCCCAACCAGAACCATCACTACCGTCACCACCACCCACACCTGCTTTGGGAAATGTGCTGCTAAATAAGGTTGAATGAATAAGTCAAAACAAGAGAATGATTAAAAAATGGTCATGATGACTATTTTTATGCAATGTTTCTGATTATGTACAGAATTTATATGTGACTGATAATAATATCTTAATGTGCTGCTATTCATACAGTCAATTCAGGTTAATTGTGTAGTGCAATTGTGCAGTTATGTATAACATTGTGATTGAAAAGGTGCATTTTGGTTTATCATTGTTAGGGTTTGTTTTCCTTTGCCGTTTGTTTTAAAAGTTATTTCTCCCTGCAGGTCCAGAGGTGTTTGAGTAGTAAAGATTCTCCAGCTGTGTCTAATGCTCCATTGGGCAGTAAGGCTTTGGCCAGGGTCCTGAGTGCTGTTCCTCAGGGGGAATGTAAGGAAAACAGCCTCGGGTCTTCACCTGAGTGTCTTGAACCTGAACAATCAGCAGATAAAGACAGCTCCTCAATACAGCCAAACAATCTTGCAAACTACACAACTGCTGGTAAGATACAGCACTGTCACATTCATATATTGTGTGTGAGAGAGAGAGATAGAGAAAGAGATTGAAAGGATTAAATATCTATTATGAATAAATATCTATTGTTCAATAAATGTCAAACAGATTTTTCAGTCTAGTTAGGGTTTAATAAAAGGCTTTTTCGTTTGGTAATATAACTAACAACGTGTAATGCATTACTTAAACTTTAAACTTGGACTCCAAGAACAAAACTCTTTTTAAAAATAGATTAAATAGACAAAAAATATTTTGATGAGCGTTCTTAAGCGTTGCATGGGTGATCGTAATGATAGCAAATGCTTTATATGCGTCTGTTTCGTATGTTCTTGCGAACCTTATCACGTTGATATTTTAGAATGTCCCACAAGTTGCTAGAATCATAGTAGTCGAAAACTATAAAACTCCGATTCAGAAAGAGGAAATGCACTTGGTCACTTTTTAAAGCTTAAACCAAAACTAGTACAGCACGGCTTCTCTATTCCCCTCCTTTAACTTAGGCTTTGAGTGAAACTAACCAATCCGTGCACACGATCCGCTTGATTGACAGTCGCAGTGTGCGTGTGATAGTAATCGTGCCGCGCACAGATTAAGGCAGAGCTTTCCTGCATACTGTATAAGCTGTAGTACATTTGTGTGTCAGCTTGGGAAATATAGCAACTGGTGTCTTAAAAGCAGTTCTATCTCACACAAACAGTCTGCACATAATGCGCGAGCTCATTAGGCGGCAGTTTAGTGTTTCTCTTTGCCGTTTCTGCAGTCGCGCGGACTGGCTCTATGCTGTCAAAACACGGACTTGACGCGGTTAAAGTATACACGCTCTAAAACCCGCCTTCAGTCGTTTCCCTCTAATAATGAAACGCATGTCGCTGTTTTCAGCGGCATAAGAGAGCCCCGCTGTGTTTCTAGTCTAATGTAGTCGGGTGTGTTATGTAGGTCAGGCCAGGCTTAAGCAGCTTTACTGAACCTGCGTCAGCTTAAGCTAAAAGGAATTCCAGCAAAGCCCTCCCCGGGTAGGCGTGGGCCTAATCGAGGCTGGCCTAGTTAAGCCTGATTCTTTTTCTTACCAGCCAGTTTGTGCATGTGTGTGTTGTTTAACTGAGACGAGCAGTACAGCAGTCTGCTCACACAAGTGAGTAGAGAAAGACAGACACACACAGCACAGGAAAAAGAGGAGAAGGAGATCAAACCTAGAGCATTGAGACCAGCCTAAAAGCAGGATGTCTACCTTATTCATGACAAACAGCATGGTCGGCAAAGCCCGCTCCTCCAACTTCACCCTATCTGAGAAACTGGATCTTCTGCGGCTGGTTCAGCCTCACATACGCATTCTGGAGGAGCACACCAACAAACATGCCGTGATTGTGGATAAAAACCGGTGCTGGGACAGCATAGCAGAACGCTATAATAGTTTAGGAGGCGAGAGACCCCCCAGAACGGCACAGGGTCTTCGGACCCTCTATAAGCGCCTTAAAGAAAGTGCCAAGCAGGAAGTTCTGCATCGAAGCCACGCCCAGCCCGAGTACCGGGGCCGCATCTCGGAGCCCACCAAGCGCATCATGGAAATGATACCACAGCTGTTTCACGTAGGGGACAAAGAGCCGAGCGCACTCCACAGGTAAGATTGAGCATACAGATACACACATGCACACACAAAAATGAAACTCGCACATTATCAGGTGCATCTACATTTCAAAAACATTATCATCACCCAATAGAAAATTTAAACCAATAACAAGTTTGTGCAAGTAAATGCATAAAAGCATACTCTCAAGATAGCCTACCTATAGGATTCTAATTGGCTTCTCTGAGAAGATGAATTTGGCTATTAAATGTTGATTACAGCTTCTTTGGATATCTTCACATACATTTTCCCCAGGTTTTTACTTTGGCTGCTGTTAATTGTCACTCTCAGCCAATTAGAGTTTAGCAATATTGTTAGACTCATTTTGAGACATGTAAACAGCTTCTTTGCTAGTTTTATTTTGTCTTAACGGATCAAAGCACACACTGCAGTCACACACTCGTTGTCTTTTCACTCTGTCCTGTGCCAGAGGTAAGCTGCAGTACTGAGGGGATTTGGATGTCATTAACCGTATTTCCGATGCTGCTTTAATGCCAGGTTTGCCACAGTGTGCAGAGGAGTTACTTTGCAATGGCATCTCCACGTCTCCTCTATATCTTAGGCTTTACAAAACAACAGGTCTTTCTTTCTTTTGAGACCACAGGTCCAATCCAGCTGAGAGCTGTGGATGAACATGATCTGATTCTTTTGAATCCGCTAGCTGAATCAGATGATTGATATGTTATTGGTTTAAAACTGAGAATTTTTCCCGAAATCCGTCAAAGCTCTTGTCAGCACATTTTTATAAATCATGTTCAAAATTAAATTTTAGGATTTTTTTTATGAATCATGTGTATGTGTCTGTGCTAGGCTTCAGTTCAAGAGGAATTCTCCAGTAGAGCAGCCGGGCAGCAGCCTGTCCCTCCCAGCGTTGTCGGACTATCCGCATGTTTCAGTTGTGAGGGTGGAGACGGAGGATGTGAAACCGCCTGCTGATATCCACTTGATTACATCCCACGGTTCACCTGTCACCATCGCCACCCCGAGCAGTCAGGCCCACCACGGACAGGACGAGAGGGACAGTGAAGTAGTGGAAGAGGAGGAAGACGAGGAGGATTTAGCCTCCCACGTGTACGCGGCCTCTCTCTCTCCGTGCCCCTCCTCCGTACACCTGCCGCCCTCACCGTCGGCCCTCGGCATCAGGAGGAGCGCGTATCTTAGGGGGAGGGCGGCGTTCAAAAATCCAATTTTTGAGGCAGAAGCTTTGCAAATGATGAGAGAGGAGCATGAGCTTCTACTGGCTAATCACAGAAAGCTTGGACTATATCTAGAGGAGAAGAGGGAGGGTCTTAAGAGAAAGCAACAGTTGGAGGAGGACCTTCTCCGGTCAAGGGTCAAAGTGGAGAAATTGAGGGCGGCCAGACTACGCCAAGGATTGCCATTGGTGTGACACGTACGGTGTCGGATCGGAAAGTGTATCACAAAGGGAACTTCGTCGAAATGAGCAGACTTGATTTGTGTAGTTATTTCTTGTTTGTACAGTTTTTATATTCAATCGACATTTGTACAGGGATTGTTTCTGATATTTGTTGTAATGTGTGAATGCCCAGATTGAAGAAGAAAATACATATTTATTTTGTATGTATTCGCTAATAAATTCATAATTGCTTTAATCTCTGTTTAAGCCTGTCCTTTTATCTTTCCTTTGGGCATAGCAATAGCTATGAATGAGAATCTTCTCAGTCGAGGTGTTTGTGTGGACTTCATTTGGGTGTTTATTTACAGTATAATGCAATTATTTAAAATGGAAAGATGCGCACATCATCAGAGAAGAGATGTTATTGTGAGGGGTAGAGAAAGTTAATGTTTTTGTAGATAACGAGGGCACATGAATTTTAAGAAAAAGATGTGCGACAGAGATATGTATAATAAACCTGTAATATTACATTAAAAAAATAAGAATTGTCAATTTTGATTTCATGCTGATGTGAAATTCTTGCAAATGAACATGTAAATTATTTTTATGGCACTGTTTCTCACCTGACCTGTAATTATGTAGTCTGACAAGACAAAAGCACAATATCAGCAGTTCTGTATATGCCTGGCTGCCTGTATAAAAGCACATTTCTTATTTATTGAGTCTTTATAATCAATAGAACATTGTCTATGATATAGGCTATTTCTATGTTGTGGTTTTATTGCTGATCCTTTATTTGTTTATTTTAAAGCACGCTACTATAGTGTAATGTGGTGTAAGGCGTCATCAAGGAAGCATAAGCGCTGGGAAGGCGATGCTGTGCTAGTTGCCCGTGGGCGGACTGTTATCCTCAAAGACATGGAGGGGCGGGACATTGGACGAGGTTAGCCTATCACAGCACATTCTAGCAGTACTTTTGGATTTGATTTTTTACATAAACGCATATTTTAATTTAGGGATGCACAAAATATTGTTAATTGGTCAATATTGGAGGTTTTTTTCCCTGTATCTGTTGATATTGTATATTTGTGCATGTTATGCTCATTTCCACTCTTTTTTTGTCATCTAATGCTTTAAAGTTTTTTTTAAAATACTAATTTAACAACACTTAAATGTAATTTTTTTTAGGAAATCTCTTAATATCCATTTGTCTCATTGTGCATTATAATTTTGTGATACCTAAATTCACATTTAAAGCATTAAAACGATTGATTTAAGTGTTTTATTTATTTTTTATTTAAACAAAATTGTAAAAAAAAAAAAAAAAAAATACTATTGGCCATTTATTGGATATTGGTCATATCATGATAATAATTATTTAGCCTGTATAGATGTGTGTTTTGAATCAGTGTTTTTCTGTTAGGTTCAGGCTACAAGGCATCAGAGCTGGAGAGCTTGTGTGAGGGTCAGACTCTTATGGTGGGAGGGAAACAAATCGAGGTCATGGGGATCATATCCAATGAGGACTACGCCAAAGGCCGTTGTTTCCAAGATGCTGTTGTTGAGACTTCTGCAGAAACGGTCTTGAAGGCTCCTGTATATCACCCAGTGTCCAAATCCTTTACCAAACCAGCACTCAAGGGAGGTGCACTTACAGATTCTGAACCTGACAAGCCGATCTGTAAACCCAGACATAACCCTAACACACCAGGTACAGCAAATGCTCAACTAAAACAGCATTTATCTGTTTTACAATTATTCATGTCAATTATTCTTTTATGCCCTTATTGATGAATTGAATATTAATATTTTAAAAAAACTATTGTCACTCTGCAAGTCCATTTAAAAAAAAAAATTAACGAAGACAAAAATGTGATTAAAAATGTTTAAAACTTCCAGTTACATTACTTAGCATATATATTTGCCCTTGAAGATTATGGCCTGGTTTCATAGACAGGGCTTAGATTAAGCCAGGATTAGGCCTTAGTTCAATTAGGACATTTAAGTAGCTTTTATAAACATGCCTTAGAAAAAAACATTACTGATGTGCATCTTGAGACAAAACAATGGCACTGACATATTTTAAGATAAGTCAGTGCAAGTTGCTTTCAGTTAAAATAGCTAGGCTTAAGCCTTTTATTCAATTTTTACTATTACGTTTTAATCTAAAGTCTTGGTGGTCTTTTAAAAAATATCCATATTTGTCCTGCTTTGTCCCTATAGGCGCCCTGGTAATGCCACGACCGACAACTGATCACCAGTGGCTGTATAATAAATCTGGTTCTCCACTGGTGGATGTGGTCATCGACCCCCACTTGACCAACCATCTTCGGCCACATCAGAGAGAGGGCGTGGTCTTCCTTTATGAATGCTTAATGGGAATGAGGTAAATAAGAGTTTATCTGTTGTTGCAGTGTTCTTACATATGCACTTTTTTGCACATGTATGTTTGTGTGTTGCAGACTTGCTGGCCGCTGTGGGGCTATTCTGGCAGATGAGATGGGACTGGGGAAGACACTGCAGTGTGTTTGTGTTCTGTGGACACTACTGAGACAAGGCCCCTACGGTGGGCGGCCTGTACTGAAGAGGGCACTTGTGGTTTGTCCAGGAAGTTTGGTCAAGAACTGGGCTGCTGAGTTCAATAAGTGGCTGGGCAGGGAGAGGATTAGTGTTTACACTGTGGACCAGGTGTGTATGTGTGGCTGTTTGTGTCATTTAGACGGATGACTATAAGAGGATTAACAGTGTATGTTGTCTCTGTAGGATCACCGCGTGGAGGACTTTACCTCTTCTCCTCTTTGCTCCGTCATGGTGATCAGTTATGAGATGTTGCTGCGCTCTGTGGACCGATTGAAAGAGCTGGATTTTGGAGTGCTCATCTGTGACGAGGGTCATCGCCTTAAAAACAGCAACATCAAAACGGCCAGCGCACTCACAGCGCTCTCATGTGACCGCCGTCTTATATTAACAGGTTTTCTATTTAAAACAAACACACTTTTATTAGTGTAGTAGTATAACATTTGTAATTGTTCAAAACAACTATAATTATTCATTTAACAGGAACTCCAGTGCAGAATGACCTGCAGGAGTTTTATTCCATCGTAGAGTTTGTAAATCCAGGAATTCTGGGAACATCTGCGGCCTACAGGAAGATTTATGAAGAGCCCATTCTCAGATCTCGCCAGCCCACCTGCACCGAGGTTAAAAGATATTTTTTTCATGTTATGTATGATATATATATATATAGTAACTTCAGTGCATTTGTGGTAAATGCTGTTCATTGAACTTCTTCATCAAAGAATCCTGAAAAAAGTATCACCATTTCCACATAAATATAAGGCAGCACAACTGTTTTCAACATTGATAATAAGAATTAGAAAAAGAAATATTACCTGAGCTCCAAATCATTAGAATTAGATCCTTTTAGAAATTATATTAGAATTACTTCTTAAGGATCATGTGACACTGAAGACTAGAGTAATGATGCTGGAAAATTCATGTTTTCATCACAGGAATACATTTATTAAAACAGAAAATAATTATTTTAAATTGTAATAATATTTCACAATACTACTGTATTTTTTGCCTTGAGATGAGCATATGAGACTTCTTCCCAAAACATAAAAATGTTTTAATTTTTGCAAACTTTTGACAGGTACTATTAGGGATGCAAATCGAAAATTCTGGATGCACTTGCCCGCAAACCGAAACCGAAAATGACTTTTTTAAATAATTACTAATTTCTTATTTTACATTATTTGTTAAAGTATGATTGTATTAATATTAGACTTTTTAATTAAATTCAGTAATTGAATTGAATCTGAATTTAGAAAATACAAGCCAATAAAATGAAATAACCACACTTTTATTTTAAGTAACACCAAAATAGGACAAAAAATAAATTAAAATATTAAATATAAATATACTATTCTTCATTCATTTTATGCAGCAGAATCAGATTCATTTAACTATTTTATTTTTTGAACAATTATCCAAATAATGCATAGGCCTACCAAACTATTATCATCAGAGCATGTGCAGGATGTTCGCTTGGGCCGTGAGCGACTGAGCAGAGAGCGTACTCACGGAGTGGAACATTTCTGACTGACAGATAAAATAAATACATGATTGTGATAATCGTGCCTATATGAATTGTCTGATTTCTTCAAGCTGTCGTATTTACCATGTTTACTATAGTAATGTAGTTTGCATAATCTTTTGCATCGCATATAAATATTTCTGCCTTATATGGTGATCAGAATCCACATTGGATCACAAACAGAAGTTATTGCAAACACTCATTGCTGTCTGAAAGTGAGTTTTGAGCTAAAATGATTTTAAAAGTCTTTAATGCTGATGTTATCATCTGCAATCATCCGCCTTTGTTCGTAACCTCTCCTCAAGCCCGAGCTGGCCCGCTTTGGACCAAGGTATTGTGGAAACAGTGGAAACGCAGCTATTGAGCAGAGCACACTGAGGGCCGGTGTTGTGCCGAATTCTTACCCCTGCCAAATTATTACCCCCCTAGGATTAGTTGTGGGGGAGGGGTTAGGATTAGAGGTGGGTTTAGTATTAGACAATCAGTTAGCAACTTCAACAAGGGGGGAAATAATTTAGCAGGCAGGCAAAATTCGGCACAACACCTGTTCAGACTAACCTGAGCACTGAATTTGAAGGGGCGGGGCAGCATATATTTTCAGCCTTTTTTCTCTTTCGGCCCAAAACTGAAAATGCTGTTTTCGGCCAATAACTTTCGGCTGACGAAATTTCAGTAAAAAAAAAAAAAAAAAAGATTTGGAATTTAGGCATCACAACAATACAGTATGAAAATTGATATTTGTTTGGAATATTTGCTAAATATTACATTTAACAGTGTTGGTTAAATGGTTAGTATTTTTAAAGATTTACTTTAACGTGTTACAAGGTGATAATGTAAATGTAAAAATAAAGAAAATGAGCATTTACAATTAAATATCCAATACTGACTGTCTGATACTAATAGATAAAAAAGTCTCTTCAACATTCTTGAGCAAATCTCCTTGTACCCACAACTGTGTGTCTGTATTCATC